CACTGGGGGAACATAACCAGTGTTGACACAGGAACACACTAGGTTACAACACATTGAGTCATATCCGATTCACAATGGACAGTCATTTAAAATAATTGTCAACAAACTTCTTGAAAATAGTAAACTAAGGAAAGAAGCAGTGAAAAAACTTCTGTTCTACTTAGTTGGACTGTAATAAGCAAAATCTGCAGGCAGTATCATGCATGCTCCCCTTCCGACTTTTAATCGGATGCACAATCATTTCAGAATCCTTATAGATAAATTTAAAAAGAGTGACTTATGAGATATTTATCTCTTTTTAGGCTGCAAAGTATGTTAATGACTCTCAAGCTATCAACCAGATCTCAGCCGATCAATTCTTCTGAGAGAGTGCATAGATCAATAATCCTATATGCTCTCCAGTGCCATTCCCTTTTGATTGCGATACAGTACTGTACTTTTGCAACTTTTTACTGGTACAATAAATTTATTCGTATTGATTCAATACTTCATGCTTCCTAACATGTTACTTCGGTTTGCCCCAGAAATGGACTGTTATAACTAGACCTGTTTTACCGTCCTAATTTCAGCGCAGATTCGAAAACTCTAACAAACACGTGTCTTAAGTACTAGAGGGATTGGGTTGATCATCTTTTATTTTTAGCGCAAGTACTTAATAATGCTGCAGATTTCTTGCAGTGCGGATATCACAGGCATGCTCCTTGTGTAAATCAAGCCATAGAAACGACCGTCCCTGCACACTACTTCCTATTTTGTTTGCGGGCTGCCCTTAAGGGTCTTAGCCATTTTTGCTACCGTCTGGAACAATTTGACATGTACGATAGACATTTCAATCACACATCGGACCGGTTTGTCCCCTGCGAATCAAACATTTCCACATTGCTAGAAAAACAATACCTTAAGCTTTGGCTAGTGCCCATCACCTTCACAGTCCACACTGTAGTCGTACTTTAAATCATCAAATGGGCCTATGTTTCCCATCTGTATAGAGGAGAGGGGTCACCCAATTTTCACACATCATTTCAGTTCGTGCTGTCTTCGCGCTTTCGGGCATCACTTAGATATTTAGGATAATTCGCGCCCATTAGGGAGCTCAAGGGCAAAAGCCATCTTCCCTTAATAAAGTGACTATTGAAAGTATCCCTCAGTCACGCGTCAAATTTTCATGTGCAATCAGTCAACATCGACCACTATGGTTAATTGTCATACGTGCATGTGTAACTGCGGGTGACACGCTATCTTCGAAGTCCTCACACCACACCAAATAATTCACATAGTCCTTTATCAATGGACTGGCAGAGTTGGACAGTAAACTGATGTGTGCGAGAAGAGGGAGAAAGCAAAATAGGCTTTGCAAATGAATCCATGCTAATAACACTTCAGCGCATTCTTCGCTAAAACAAAGTTGAGGGATTAAAACCTTCTGTATTGTTTTCTATATGTTGATGGATTATAGGCAATGCCCTGGAGGACACTATTAATGGAAGAAGTTGGAGACATTTAAAACGTCTGAGTCAAAAACAGAACACGAGCAAAACGAGCTGCCACTGTTCAATGCGAAACAATACGAAAGAAGGGTAGAACTAGAACGATTTTACGAGGCTGGATCTAGACAGTCGTATTGTGCCGAACGTTATTTCATCAGACCTTTTAAAAGCAGAAATTATGTCGGCGGTAAATTTCTCGCTTGTTAGCAAGTTCCACGATCGTATCGCTCGTTGACTGAAATGTAAGACGTTTGAAGTCCAATCGCGTGAGTTCACTTCTGATCGTGAACGGATGACCGCTCAGGTGACTTGTGCAAGTAAACTCGGAAAAACTCTCCGGGCTCGGTGGATAGCCGCTGCTATGTGACCCATAATGCTGACAGTTGTCGCAATAAACGATTCACCTTGAGGAATAAGTTGGCACCCGGATTGGCTGGAGGCAACAAATATCGCAATTTAAATTCTCACTTCTGCTTTGGTCAAGACGAAGAAGGCATTAAAATGGTAGAAGATGGA